GCGTTGGGAAATGACCTCTCGGGCACAGGACTTCCAGGCTCTGAACGCGCGGCTCAGGAAGATGGGCTGCAGGGTGGTGGGCAGCTGGGCTGGCTGCAGCCCCCCTCGGCTCCACCTGCCTGCAGCAACATGGTCTTGAAGCGTTTGGAACCTGGGTTCGAGGTAGGGTTGCCGGATAAAACCAAATTTTGCATGGAACGTGTTTACCCAAAAACGTTGTTGCGTAGCTGAAATTCGCATTGAGCCAAGCAGCCTCTGTTTTCATTTGTTAAATCGGTCACGTGGCTCAAATCCCAACTCTACACCAAGAGGTGGGGGTTCATGCAAAACTTTCAGACCTCAGTTTCCTCCTCCAGAAAATGGGCATGAGCAGGGCGATGACGTGTGAACGTCATTTGTAAGCCGTACAGCACGCTGCATGTGTACGGGATTATCGCTATTGTTCGTGGATAAAAGGACACTGGGCTCATCCAGGACCTTCTGGCTGTGGGCACGACGCTGGCTAATGAGTCCCGATTCCCAGTCCCTACCCCACGGGCTCCGCCTGCCTCTGGAAATGTCTCCAAAGAAAACATCTGAATCTTAGAAATGTGGGGGCCTCAGAGGGGGTGGTGGGAGTGACTGGCCTTCCAGATCGTGTCAGTCACGCTAGGAGCAACCCTGCTCACATTCACATCACTGCGGAGAGCTTCAAACCAGGAGGAAGGCAGGACCAGGGTCAGAAACCCAGGTGCCAGTGCCCCTGGGGCCTGACGCGGCTGGCGGAGGGACAGGTGACTGGAACCTGCGGACAGACAAGGCTGGACGGAGACACAGGCCCAGTGGGAGCTGGAGAACCCCCAGGTCCCCACCTAGACCTGCCTGTCCTTCCGTCCTCCAGCCTCCTCCCTGGGCTTCCTGTGGTCCAGGCTCGTCCAGAAGCCAGAGGTCACAGGAACACGGTCCCCACAGGCCGCAGAGCAAGGTGGGGCGTGGACGGGAGGGTCACATGGGCACCAGTGGGCCCACAGCGGCGCTGTCCTGTGCCTTCAGGTGTGGTTTTTCCTACCCCTATGGAAAGTTCCTACTCTTCCTACCCCCAGGCAGGCGAAGTGCACGTCTCTGTCTCTCTCTTCTCCGTGTGGATAAAGAATGGAATTACACTCGGGCATAGGAGAGAATTCCAAATGTCTGACTTTCTGTGGCCTGCAACCCCTGCCGCAAACAGAGCCACGGGGCAGCAGGACAACGGCCGACCTGTGTCCTGCTGACGGCCTTCTCTACAGCTGAGGCAATCCCCACACAGGCCCACAAGCAGGACTCTCCCCTCTCCCCCGTGTCACAGATAAGGTCACCTGCCAGCACCGCCAGGTAAGTGCCAGAGCCAGGATTGGCCCCCAGCTTGGCTGGCAACCTTCCCCCAAAGGTCAGACGCTGCTCACCCCGAAGAGGGGACCCGGCCCCGGGGGAAGCCTGCGTGCTCTGGGCAGCCAAGCAGGAAACATTGTTTGAGGACAATGATGTCCTCTCGGTTGGGCAAACTTCTCCCTGAAGGGCCAGGGAGTAAACAATTCAGGCTTCCAGGAAGCAGCCAAAGAAAGACACAGCAGTGAAAGCATGTGGCTGTTGTACTTAACAGACCCTGAGATGAGAGTTTTCTATAACTTTCACCTGCAATGACATTTCATTCTGGTCTGCTCTGTCCGCGTCGGTTTAAAATGTGAAAATTGTTCTGAGTGCGTGGGCCACCCAAACACGAGCAGAGTTTGAGGACCCCTGGTCTAAAGTGGCTTCCGGTCAAGCTGATACTTGCTGGGACCTCTATGGGGTGCCAGGGGGACCCCCAGATAAGGTAGTCGAGGGTACTGTCGAAGTGTTGTGTCTCCCTGCCCGTCCCTCACCGCCCCCCCATTCTCATGCACCTGGAACCTCAGAACGGGGCCTTATTTGGAAGCAGGGCCTTTGCGGGTGTAACTAGTTAACGAGCGATCACACTAGGTTAGGGTGGCCCCCAGTCCGATGGCCTGTCTTTATGAGAAGAGGCGAGGACGCAGAGAGGCGCACAGAGCGAACAAGACCGTGTGAAAAGGAAGAGAGAGACTGGCTCCATGCAGCTCCCCGCCAGGGGCCGGCAGGACTGCCGAGCTGCAGGAAGCTGGGGGGACAAGGACCCTCCCCCAGAGCCTCCTGAGGGAACCGGCCCTGCCAACACCGGGAGTGTGGCCTTCCAGCCGCCAACTGTGAGAGAACGCGTTGCTGGGTTCAGCCACCCCGTGCACAGTGATGTGTGTGGCAGCTCTGGGGAAAGAGGGCTCAGTTCTGCTTGGAGCTCCGCTGTGCATCTCTTCTCTCTGGGGGTTCATAGACTGGCAGAGGCTGGCGGGACCCCAGGCCCTGGCCCTCCCGGACCTCGGGCCTCCTGCCCGCTGCTTCCCAGCAGTCTTCGATTCAGTAGCGAAGTGCCAGCCAGCCCTGGATGAAATTGGCAACCACGGGATGCTTGTTTTCCTGCTCCTCCCCCACCTCCCCCTTCCTAAATGGTTTCCACCTCTCACTAGGAGCCAAACAATCCTTCCCCAAGGTCAGAAACCCCCACCCACCATCCACCTGCAAAGTATTCATCGCAGGTGCTGGGGGCGGGACCCCAGGCCTCTCCCTCTGCAGCTGTCGCTGGGTAAGCACGGGGTCCGGAGAGTGACTGGGAGCAGGGGGTGCAGGCAGCCCGCATGTGGGTGGAGGCCAGACCTGCCCGCGTTCCGGGCTTGGCACCGTACCCGGCCCGTGGGGAGGCCGGGCAGGCTTCTCTAGGTCCCCCCACACCTACTGGGGCCCCGCAGCCCAGCGCTGGATGGAGGACACCCACACACCACCCAGGACACCTGTGTGTGTGCACAAAGGCTCATAAATGAACTCACTCTTCTGAAGGTGGGAGGGGGCACACAGGCCAGAGGAACCTGTGGTGGTGACAGTGCCCGGGACCCACCCAAACGCCGTGTGTCCCAGCCTGGAGAGAGCCCGGCACTCCTCGGGGTGGAGGGCCCTGGAACGCCCTCCCTGACTCTTGTCCTGGCCCCGGTGTGTTCCACTGTCTCTTCTGAGGAGAAGATTGAGGCCCCTGGGTGACGGGACTGTGTTTGAGACCCGGCATTGTTTACGGGAGGCTGTGCTGTGAAGGGATTTGGCCGGTAGCGGGGAAGGTCAGGGAAGGCTCTGGGGGAGTCGGACGGATGGGAATGGCAGGGAGTCAGGGAAGCCACCTCGGAGGGAGTCCCCACGTCATTTCTTGGAAGGAGATCCGTGGGGGCGGGGCAGACAGGGCAGGGAGTGGGGGACGGCCCCCCCCAAGGGCGGATCTGCGCACATCTGTTTGCAGTTTCCAGCTCACCTCCGCCCCCGCCTCGCCCTCCCTCTGCAATCAGCTGCCTGTGCCTGCCCGGCCTCCTGCCCCGACCAGCCCTGCACACGCCAGCCGGCCGGTGAATCAGAGGTGCCTTCTGTGGCCCTGGGGTGGGGGCGGGGCTGTTCCAGTCCTGACACCAGGACTACCCTCAGGGGAGTTCCGGGGTCCTGCCCGGACAGGGCTGGGGAGAACCCTCAGCCCCCCGCCCCCCGCCCTGGGGACAGCAACGAGGACAGACAGGAGAGAAGTGGGTGAGGGAAGGGAAACCACAGGTGACCAGGTGGCAGCTGACGCTGGACCCCAGAAGAGGAGACGCAGGAAATGGGTCACCGAACCCACGGCTCCCGAAAGGGGCGGCTCTCACTGTCCGCCGCACCCGGAACCCAGAGCCACGCTGCCCGGCTCCTCGGATTCTTCGGGAGCCAGAATCCCAAATTTTATGTAAACCCCCTTATGCTTACGTATTAGCAACTATAATATATATTTTTATATTTTATATTATATATACATATATATATGGGGGTGGGCAAAAGTAGGCTACAGTTGTTCATATGGAAGTAGACACGCAGGTTATGATCATTACAATAGCTTTCTTAGCCCAAAAGAATGTCACAGTGCAACTGTGGACCTACTTTTGGCCACCCCCTGTGAGCATGTGTGTCTGTGTACACACACATGTACACACACACGTACACACACACATATATATAAAGCACTGTTGCGGCAGATTGTATCTTGCAACAGCGATTGCAGCAGCCCCTCCCTCTCATGTGTTCTTCTCCCATCGAAAGAGGGGCCATGTTCCCTCCCCCTTGAACCGGTGGGGAGGGGCCTGTGACCACAGCACACTGATGCTACGGGACTTTCTAGGCTGCGTCATGGTTATGGGTTGAATGGTGTCCTCACAAAAGATGTGGACATCCTGCCCTGGCCCGTTTGGCCCAGTGGATAGAGCGTCAGCCCTCAAGCTGAAGGGCCGCGGGTTTGATTCCGATCAAAGGCATGTGCCTCGGTTACAGGCAACCAATCCATGTGTCTCTCTCACATGGATGTTTCTCTCTGTCTCTCCCCCTCCATCCCACTCTCTCTAAAAATCATTGGAAAAATGTCTGCGTGAGGGTTAAAATAAAAAACAAACCCAGATGACTTCCTAACTCCCAGCATCTGTGAATGGGACCTTATTTAAAAATAGTCTTGCTGGTGATTGAGTCAAGATGAGGTCATTTGGCTCTGATCCTTACCAAAGGGGAAATTTGGACACAGAAACAGATACGCGGGGAAAGAGGGCTGAAGGCAGGGAGAAGGCCACGTAAAGACAGCGCATCAGGGCGCGCCACCGGGAGCGAGAGGGCGGCATGGAAAAGAGGCTCCCTCACAACCCCCAGCAGGGTCCAACCTGCCGTCAGCTTGATTTGGACCTTTTTATTTTAAAATATATTTTTATTGATTTCAGAGAGGAAGGAAGAGGGAGGGAGAGAGAGAAATGTCAGTGATGAGAGAGCCTCCTGCACACCCCACACTGGGGACTGAGCCCGCCACCTGGCATGTGTGACCCATTATTCTTGCTTTTCACGGGATGCCGGCCCTCACCATGCTTTTGTTCCGGCCCTCCGGTCCAGTTTAAGAACCCATTGTGGCCCTCGAGTCAAAAAGTTTGCCCACCCCTGTTCTAGCTCCTGAACTGTAACTGTTAACTCACTCCGCTGGTGGTACTTCATCGTGGCAGCCCTAGCCTTTCTGCCGGGTCTCCTGGGCACTTGATCTCGGCACGTGGCTGCCGCCTCGAGCAGAAATCCACGCTGTTCCACGTGGAGAAGCCACACACAGGTGTGCTGGCTGCCGCCCAGCTGAGCGTCCCGCTGACGGCCAGCGTCAACCTCCAGACCTGGGAGTGGAGGTTGCCCAGGTGACTCCAGCCCCCGGCCACTGAGTCACCCCCACCCCACAGCCCGCCTTTAAGTCTTCTCAGCTGAGACCGCTCACAGCCTGGAGCCTGGACTTCACTTCTCAGAAACGCCTCTGACCTGGAGCAGGGGCCTGGGCCCAGGGCAGCCTGCTGCCTGACACAGGCTCGTCATTGTTAGCTGACCTGACATGTCTTTGCCTTCAACCACAACTGCTTCCTGGAGGGCATCCAGCTCGGGGAGGGGACAGCGGGCTTGGGGAGAGGAGAAAGCTAGCGTCAGTCCGGGAGGCATCAAGCATCAAGCTGGGGAAGTGTAAATTAGCCTTGACAATGGGCTAGATGAGTTATTGTTATGACTCAAAGGCTTCCGCAGGGGCAGAGGAAGGGCACACACATACACACGCACACACATGCATATACACATGCATACACACGCAGGCCAACCGGATACCGACCACTCTGGAGAAGAGAAAACTCTGTGGCCACCGTGATGAGCTTTGACAATGACACCCCGCCCGCAAGCACGTGTATCTGCACCTCTTCTCCATTCTCTCCACGGTCAGAAGGGACACAGAGATGCCAGGCCCTTCTCCATTCGTGACAGCCATTGACTCAAGACTCCATCCTGTAGGCTTGAATGTGGGAGCAGAAGTGTCCAGTCGGGGGCGGGGGGGCGGGCAAGGCGGCTGCCCTGCAAAGCCCTTCCTTGTGAGGAGGCTCCCACGGTGTGCCCAGGGGGCCGGGAAACTGTAGGGAGACCCCCGAGTCAGGCAGAAGTACACAACATCAGATGCTCAACCCAAGGGTCTGGGATTGGGGGGGGGGGGCGTGCAAAGGGAGGGAAGGCCTTGGGCACACCGTGGGAGCCTCCTCACAAAACGCACAGGCACAAGAACCCACTGACGGGAGGCACGGTTTCTTTAAGTGCTGGGAACATCTGGGCGATGCGTCACATCACATTGGGACGGACAGGATGCTGAGTGATGCCTTCAGGTCCAGTCACCATCCTCTCCCGCCCTGGGCCATGTGCTGAGCTACAGGAAGGAATGCAATGGGGGTCTTTGGTGTGGATGTGGGCTGGGGAGGTGGGTGATGAGAACAGAGGGGGACACGGCTGTGGACTTATAAGAACCACCTTGAAGCGGGCGTGTGGGGTCTCAGGGACACAATGTAGGACCTTCCCAGGCAGGTAGGCATCTGTCTGCTCGGTAAGACGGTGCCCGTCTCCTCTAGCGACCTCCCCTTGCCCACCCTGGGGTTTTCTCATCTGAAAATGGGGGCCACGAGGGTACCCACCTCATGTTGTTGGCGTGATCACTCATGTAGCGAGATCACTCACACTGCAGCCAGAATCTGCTTCCTTTCCTGCCGTCTGGTGGTTTTGTGGCTAAAACTGCAGGCTCTGGGCCTGCCTGCTTAGCATTTTTCAGTCTAGGAACTGGATTTAGCTGTGCCACCTCGGGCAAGTTATTTAGCCTTTCCTGTGTTTAATCTGAAAAAATGGGAGTGAGATGCGGCATCCGAGCCTACGGTGAAGTACTCAACGAGCCACAGTGACCAACCTCCTCCGGGCTTACTGAGGCCACACGTGCCTGCAAGCTGGCCTCTCGGTGAGAAGAGGAGCCTTCTCTGGGCACAGACAAACCCCCTTTCCTCACCCTCCCCTCACCCCAGTCCCTGGTCTCACCTTCTCCCTGGGGGCCCAGGAGGCTGCCCTCCAGCGGAGAGGATGACAGAAAGTCCTGGAAAGCCCGGGGGGCCTGGCAGACTCCTGTATCAGGACCGGGACTGTGCCTGCAGATAACGGGCTCATTTTTTTCCTCTTAGCTCAATTCTAGGAAACACTGCAGGGCGGGCCCACTCTGTGCCCGAAGATGCCCAGCAAAAACATGGTTCCAGAAGGTCACCCTTGGGCCCTTAATTTGGAGACAGGCTGGCGGCCATGTAGAGCCCCCACGGGGTCCCAGCTTTATGCTGACCTCTGACCTGCATTATCTAACAACCTCACGCCAACTCCATGAGGTGGGCACCCACATGGTCCCCGTCTACAGATGAGAAAACCCAGCCCCACGGAGCTCAGGTGACTGCTCTCGGGTCCTAGAGGGAGGCCGGGATTCGAGCCCAGGACCGTCTGACCCAGGGCCTGTGTCCTTGTCCCGATCTTCCGGCCCTTGGAGCACCAAGAGGAGACGTCCGCTGAGGGGCCAGGTTCGGCTCTTCCACCTGTCGCGGGGGCACTGGTGGGTGAAGCTCTGGGCTGGAGACGTCTGGGGACCACACACAACATTCCTTCCGGGGTCCCCGCTTCCAAGACTCCCCGCCTTTGCTGAAGTTCACACTATTTGGCTGCGGAGCCCAGAGCTCCGGTTACATGGTTCTCCCCCATCTTGTTCTCCCTCCCGGATAAAGAGGACATTGGGTGTCATCTCCCACCTTCGGGGTATGTCCCCGCTCAGTGTTCAGTGTTGTGGCCCTCGAGTCAAAAAGTTTGCCCACCCCTGGTCTGGGGCTAGGGTTAGGCGGGAGAAGGGAGGGCTCTGGGGCTCAGGACACGGCTCGTTCATCCATCCAGCCGACATTCTACATGGAGACTCCAGTCCACATGGAAATTCAAACACCAACCAGCCCTGGCCTGTGTGACTGGGTTGAGCATCATCCCATGCACCTAGAGCTCAAACATGCCTGGGTTGTGGGCTCGATCCCCAGCAGGGGGCGAGCAGGAGGCAGCCAACTGATGTTTCTCTCTCCCTCTGTCTCTCTCTCCCCCTCTCCCTTCCTCTCTAAAATCAATAAAAATATATTTTTTAAAAAAACAAAACAGCAATCGGACACCACACCGTCCTGACTCCAAGGAGCCGTGGGGTGACGGGCTGTTTTACTCTTGGGGTGCACTGGCCGCCCCAGAGCCCTGATGCACGTTAACCCCCTCACAGGAGGGCTCATGGCTGGGAGCCTGGGTGGTGGGGGCCCTGTCCTGACCCCCAGGTCGGGGATCCTGGGGGTTTTCCCAGGCTGCTCGGCAGAGGTGGCCCTGCCCACGAAGGGGCTCCAGGGGCTTCCCAGGAACAGGGAACCGAGGAGTGAAAGGGCCTCTGCCCAGCGGGTGGCTGTGAAAGGTCCAGGGTGGGCAGGGCCTCAGCTCACGGGGGCTCCACTCCAAACTATGCCAACAGCAGGCCCTAGGGACACCCTGAGGTGTCCATCCAGGAGGGACCATGTCTGACGACCTGGGGGGAGGGGGGAAGGTTGGGGGCGGGGGACTCCGATAGAGATGGGAAGTCACAGAGCATTTGTGTGGGAGGGGCCTGAGAGATTAGCTCATTCCAGACAATGAAATGTCCTGCCAAGAGTCAGGCAATATGGCAAGCGCCAGGCTAGAGCGAGTGGGGCCTCCGGCTTTTCTACAAGGAAATAGGATGACCCCCTGGAACGGATCCTGGTGGGGCTGGGCAAAACCATTCGAGCTCCAGTGCCCAGAACCCCGAGCTAACACACGCTGGGAGGCAGGAGGCCCCTGGGGTTGTAAGGATCACGTGTGCCCAAGTTCAAGGGCTGGCCGGGCACCTGGGGCAGGCAGAGACGTGTGCCCAGGCCTAAGGGCTTCAGAGGTCAGATGACACCAAAGCTGCAGTTGAGAACTGAAATCCCTGTCCGGAGTCAGGGGCTTAGAGCTTGCCAGAAAGTTCAAGGTGGGTGTTATGCAAGCGGCAGGCTTTGTTGTTGTTGCTGTTAATTTCCCCTGCTTACAGATAGAGAGCTCTAGTCTACAACTTCGCCTCAGTGGATACCTAGGAGGTTCCCAAAATTCACAGGCCTGGGGTCCCAAATCCCAGAGAAAATGCACTTTTCTACCAGTCAAGCCTCCCACCGGCGTCCTAGCAGTGCAGGGAGGAGCAGCTTCTAGAAGCATCCGAGCTCCTTCTCTGGGCAGCCTGTGCCCACTGTGGGCCTCCTGAGGGCAGGATCCGGGTTCCTACAACCACAGGCAAACCGCAACGAACGCTCAATGTTGGTGGAAGGGGCCTCAGAGGCAGGAGCTCAGTTCCAGGAAGGGCGGAAGGATCCCAGGGAGCGCCCAGGCCTTGGTTCTGGGGAATCTGCTCAATTGACAGGTAATCTAACCGGGAGGGCCAACTCCGACACCTGTGGAAAGAACAGATTACCTTAGCGAGCCCTAAGGACAAAACACTTTGTTTTAAATGTGGGGAAAGAGAAGGGCAGATGTGCCTCCGAACCAAACCGGGACCTGGGAGTTTTCTTGGGACAGATAAGACTTGAGTTTCTAAGGGACCTGGGACCAGGGAATGGGGGAGGGGGACGGTCGGGCTGAGTGGGGGAGGGTTGACAACTAGCAGCGAAGAAGGGAAGGGGCCCACTGAGGGTCCCATCCAAGGCCACGCGGGTAGGAGGGAGCCCGAAGCCTGCACTACCTCCACCCCCTCCCTTGAAACCCCAGTTGGGAGCGGCTAACTGCAAGGGAGCCTTGACGTGCTGTGCCCTCTCTCCTGGGCAATAGTCCACCATGGGCCTCGGGTGGTGGGTGTCCTTTACAAATGGAGACTATTTCTCTAAAAAGAACCAAACCCAAGGCCTGCTTTTCATACGATGCGGACCCTGGGACTCAGGAATTCATCCCCTTAAGTTTCACGTGGAGGCCCGGAGGTGTGGCTCAGTGGTAGAGCATCGACCTATGAACCAGGAGGTCACGGAAGGATCCCCGGTCACGGGCACATGCCCGGGTTGTAGGCTCAATCCCCAGTAGGGGGCGTGCAGGAGGCAGCCTATCCATGCTTCTCTCTCCTCTTCCTTCCTCTCTGAAATCAATAGTAAATCTATTTAAGAAAGTTTCATTGGGAGAACTTGGCCTCCCCAGACAATCAGGCAAAGGGCAGTCGGACAGGCAGGAAGATCAAAGACCGGCCACCTGCCGACAGCCTCCTCACCCCCGGCCCCAGGCCGGGTCCTCCGGCCCCTCCGGCTTCCAGGGTCTGGGATGGAATCCGGGACCCAGACGGCGCCTCGGGCTCCCATCTCCGGTCTGTCCTGGGCCCAGGGGCGAGCAGGCGGGGTTGGGGGTGTCTGGTCGCTGCTCCGAAAGGGACGAGCCTCGGGAGTTCCACGTTGAGCCCCCCCGGGGAGAGTCGCGCCCCAGGTGGTACTGGGTCCGGGAGCGCAGCGAAGCGGGGGGCCCCCGATCCCCTCTCTCCCACGGCCCAGGTCCCCGCCCGGGCCGCCCCACTCGAGCTCGGAAAGTCTCAGGCTCGCAGATTTGAACCGCGGAGGCCGAGCGGCTGCGCTGAGGTTCCCCAAGGCCATTGGCTGCGGCGGCGCCCGCGCGGGGGGGGCGGGGCGGAGGGGGGGGGGGCCCGGGGGGGGCGTGGGCCC